TACTATTATTATCATTATTATTAACTTACCCTGCACTGCCCTGCACTGCTTGCCCTACCTCAAGACCTAGGACAGTGAGTACAGTGAACTGTTACACTAAATTTTATTGCACCGCAATAAAGAACGCACTTGGGTTATATTGCACTGCAATAAAGAACGTTTCGGTGCCAGTAGTGTACACTAGTGCAGAAAGTTCAGCAATAAAGAACAAACCTTATGATACACATTTTAAAAATTACAAGTTGGACTACCTACATCTTCTCTTGTTGTCCCACATTGGCGTTCCTTGTGTTATATAGATAAATATTATACGAGTATTTCCAATTTGGAAGACACTAATAAAAGTTAAACAGTTTTCGTATCTACCTCATTACGTTCAATGTTTCTATAACCTACCTATAAAAGGAAACTGTCCAATTTGATTTTGTTGTGTCATAGGATGTGTTTTAAAATATTCGGACACTATGTCTATTAAAGAAAAAAGAAACTTATTTGAAAGAAATGTTATATGTATAAATAGGAAATTTACTAAGAGATACATACGCATGAGTTCATCGAAATTACTCAAGACTTTTATCTGAATTTCCTCATTTTTTTCATAAACTTTGGAATATTCTGAGATCACTTTATTTTGAAGTTGTATATTTAAAGTCATTAAATCATTAAGGTAAACGTCCCCATAGCGGACCATTTAAGACGCTTGGAAAATTGAAATTGAATTTTTATATATATTAACAAATCTTATTTATAAGCGGATACAACGAAACGAAAGTTTGGATTCTCTAGTTTCTGGAAACCATCCAATAATTAGTTCCATTGGTAATAGTTTATTTGATTTTTCCGGAAAATGCGAGAAATGGAAATGTCCCAGTACCCGACCATCAGTTTTTGGCTATGTCCCGATACCCGGCCACTCGATGTCCCTATTACCAACCAGTTGCAGATGAAAGCAGAGACAACTTTTTTTATTTCATTCAGTATTTCTTTATTAGTAAGACTATGTAACTTTTCGTAACTTCAGGTAACATATAGTAACTTTTCGTAAAATATCTTCGCCTTGTTACGAGGGCGACCGGGGAGGCGCGGCCGTTGGCAAAAAACCGAAATTCCGGGAGAGAAAGAGAGAGAAATAGAGGCGCGCGGTAATTAGAAAGAGACGGCACGAACAGCTGCGCACGGAAAATCGATAACGCGCGGTTGCCGCGTCGAAGCCGGCGAGAAAATCGATAACGCGCGGTTGCCACGCGTTGACGGCAGCCGGCAACGCCGCGCCCGCCCCCGCCGCCTCTCCCCGCGCGCCTACATCCGGGGGGTATAAAAGCCCCTCCGGAGCAGGCGCTTTAACTCAGTTGACGCTTGGTGCTCCGACCGTCAGCACCGGGCAGTGGGTACCTCCGCTGCAGGTATAAGCCGGAGTTGAATGGGTGCTCCTGTCTCCGGCTATATACCGAACCGGAGCACACAGCGGAGGCTCTACTCCGTTGTGGGCCCCGTCCCTCAGTAGCGTACGCCTAACGGGGTGCTCCTCGGCGTACACATGCTACAATTTCCCCGTACCGGTCTCCTGTTTCCGTCCTGACTCCGTTCCCCCCGAAGGCACGGGTACCGCCGTGATTCGCGGGGCGGAGTGTTTTCCGCAGTAGCGTACACCTAACGAGGTGCTCCTCGGTGTACAATTGCTACTGAAAATTCACGCATCACGAGGCGCCGCTCGGGCGTGATCCTGTCCTGACCAGATTCCTTTTCCTGATTCCTGACCGGTAGAACTCAGGGGGGTAATATTCGGGTGGGAAGAATATTTCTCATTAGCTCTAATAGTAAGCTCCGTAGTATTAATCCCATTACTATTTCTTCCCTTGCAGACCAGAGGGGTCCGTGCAGTCATCCTGTCTGACTGTTTCCAGTATTACCAGTGTGATTCCGTACTTTCCGTACCTCGTTATAAATCCGTATTGTACTCATTATTTTCCGTACTGATTCCGTACTTTCCGTACCTCGTTATAAATCCGTATTGTATTCATTATTTTCCGTACTGATTCCGTACTTCCCGTACCTCGTTATAAATCCGTACTGTACTCATTATTTTCCGTACTCGTTAAAATCCGTATTGTAATCATTGTTTTCCGTATTCCGAGTTGATTCCGACTAATCATATCCTGTTTTCTCTGTATTTAATCACAGGTCGGACCCGTTGTAATATTAATCCTTTTCATTTCTTTTATATTTTGACTCTAGGGCGGACCCATTGTAATTACCTCGATTCCATTGTATTCATCCCTGAATAAACCTCGTTCATATCGATTTCACCTTTAAACACCTGTCCGACTTATTACCGATCCTCCCAAGCGATTGACTCTACTGAGTAATTAAGATCTTGTCCTCCTTTCCTCCCGACGGCCCTGGAGCTGAGCATATTCGGCAAATAGGAGGAACGGAGGATCCCTTTTTTCCGACACACAGCACGTCAAAAACCGACCGAAAGAAAGCCAACTCTTCCAACCGTTAGTCGGATCCGCGCGTCTCCCCCGTTGGTGCGCCACCTTGTCGTGGTGGGGGAGCTTAGGCGGGCGTTCGGCCTGGAACCGTCTGTGTGCTGCTTTAGGCTCCGGCGGTTCCTTTGGCCGGGCGTCC